CGTGAAATTTTTCGCTCGGTGGAATTGTCGTCATGCGTTTCAAGAGAAGTTAATTAAGAGAGCGAGCGATCGCGGTTGAGGAAACGTGGAGGGGAGGGGAGGAGGATCTCTCTCTCTCTCTCTCTCTCTTTTCTCTCGTCTTAATTGGAGGGCTCTTTTAGCAATTAGAACGCGAAGGGAATTCTTTTCTCTTAATAATTTCGCCGTTATACCAAGATATAAACGAACCTTTCAAGAACATCCTGCGGAACCCTTCTTCCACTCCTCCTTTCTCTCTCCCTCTTCCCCTCTCTGTCCGCATCCTATATTTTTCGCCGCGGTTCTTGGCATTCAGGCAAGGCTCGCCGGCAACCGGCTGCTGCCTAAGCCCACGAAATTTATTTTATATCCCCAGTTTTAGGTGAATAGAGGACGGAACCATCGAGATCCTTTCCGCTTCTCTTCGACCCGTTTCGCCTGTTCCTCGTTTGGGGAGAGGAAAGGATTTTCCTCGGGAAATCTTATATGAAAAGATGCGCGCGGAGTTGGGGAGGAGAGGAGGGGGCACAGGTCGAGATGGAGAAAGAGAGAGAGAGAGGGAGGAGAGAGAGATATGTTCACCCTTTGCCGACCGATCTGACCCGAGCCAGGAGGGCTGTGGTTATTCATAAGGCGGATATCGAGCCCGGCTCTCGAATGCAAATCGAGCGGAAGTCAACGATGAGTCGAAACGACGAGCATCTTCGTTTCTCTCCTCGTCGATCGTTGTCGGTATCGGGGATTTAAAAAGAAAAGGTAGGAAAAGAAAAGAGAGAGAGAGAGAGAGAGAAAAGAAAGAAAGGAAAGGGAGAACGGGAGAGTGGGAAATGCCTCGATTAAAACTCTTCGAAGCTCGTTTAATCCTCCTCCTCCTCCACCCTTATCATTCTTACTCGTGATGCTCGTGTTCGTGGTGCTCGGCTCGCCTTTCCTGGCTAATCGGCGGCAATTTTACGACGGAACGTACACACACACACACACACACACACGTAGACGTGGAATTTATCGCACGTCGAGTGGATGAATCCGCGCGTGTGTTTACAGATTAAAAATCGGTGGTAAAGGCTTACTCGAGGCTGATTCCAGTTAAGCTTGAACCAGTTGCTCGGATCGATCGAATATAATATTGGACAATTAACGACGAAAGATCTCCGCGATGATCGATGGTGATCCATTTGACTGGGATCGGGTTTTCCACGGCAATCGTAAACGCGGCGGACACACGCGAGGGGGTGGTCGCGTGTGGCTGTGAATCGGCGCGGGAGGGAAAAAGGCGGAGACGGCCACGGAAGCGTACGACCTTCGGCCCCGTGTTATCGATTAAGCGCGCTGGTTAAGCTCAATGCCAAGCCGAAAACGATCCGACCGCAAACTGGTGTCGACAATCCGCGAGCGACTTAATTTATTTCGACTTTCAGAGGTAAAAGAAAAGAAAATTGGGGACAATTTTGCGACGTTTCTTCGCGTTCCTGATTTAAAATTTAATCGATCATTCCTTTCATTTTTATTATCTTTTATCCTCGAATCTGATCGCGATCGGATATCGTTATTTATTCGAAACACGTGCATGCGTAAAAATTTCCTTTAAACACGAAAGGGAGTGATGGTAATTTTTCAGATGAAAAGGCTCGAATCTCGAAGACGCTTCGTCATCCCGGCTTGAAACCGGCTGATTAAATTATTCGATCGGTTTAAACTCGGAAGCATCGGGATTACATTTTCAAGAACAATTTACACTAAATTCTGAATGGTTGAATTAACCCCATTATGAGGATTATAATCTAATATCGGCGGGTTGCATTACCCCTTCGATCGGGTTTGCTCAGATGATTAGCAATTGCTGGCCAATCGAGCGTGCACGGCGTCGAGATCAATATATTATTGGGTCAACGACCCATTCATCCCCGATACCAAATAAATAAACGTACTTGGAGGCGCGGGAACTGGTCTCACTGCGACACGTGCCATCTATATACACGTATATATACATATACACACACACACACACACACACACACATATATATATACAAGTTACGTGCACGTATTATTATTTTTTTTTTTCCACCGGTGGAACTCGGTGGAGCTTGATGGAACGAAGCATTCGATAATACTTCGTTCGGTTGACCCAGTTTCGAGATATTCGAGTCTCGAGGTGGCGGAGTGTGACGGTCGCCTGGACCCGGTTGGTCACCGGTTTAAACGATATAAACGAGTGGGGGTAAAATACTAGGCGAACTAGGCACACGCATACACGCGCTTCGATACGAGTTTATTATAACCGGATGCCAAGTGAAGTTTCGCGGGATCTTTTTGAAGGTTGATTTTCGGGATCGATATAATAGAGCTCGTACGACGCGACACGACAGTTACCGTTATTAACCGTAGCGATCGTTCATTTAATTCCGCGTACGCGAGATCGATACAAGTCGGCGACGATTCACTTTTAGGCTTCGATTCCCCTACTCGACGATTCGACGAACTCGCGCGGCCTTAATCGAAGTTGAGTTGTAACATCCTTCCCTTACTTAATCGTGAGAGTGAATTAATTCGCAAATATTGGGTGGAGGAAGGGGAGAAGGAAGAAGAAGGTGGAAAGGAATTGGATAGGAGAACCGTTTCATTAAACGGCGTGGTTTCTTTCACGATATCAGCGGGTTTCGCGGTTACGAGCGCCAGTTAAATGTTTGCTCTTCATTCGCGATGCGCAGAGTCTCTCTCTCTCTCTCTCGTACGACCTCCGTCGGTTGAGAGAGACTGGAAAGTTAGCCGCGAGTGCGAGTAGCGGCTCTCCTTCCCGGTAACTTGGTCGGAGTTGGGCCAAACTTCCGGTTTTGACTGAAAGGAGAACTTCCGTCCCTCCTCCCCATCATCCTCCGGGAGAAGTCGACCTCCTTAATAAATACGTCGATCCGTAGCTACGAGGGAAATTTGCGTTTGCATACTGTGACTGACAATTTTCGGATAAGCGGACGGAACGGATGCGCTTCGTATATATTTAATCGGTTTCTTTTCTCTTTGCCCGACCGGCAATTTGTTACGTTATGCGGGATCGTCGTAGCTCGATCACTCGCGACTCTTTCGAGTTACGATCCCTCGAATTTTTTCATCCCGAGTTGGGATTCGATCTCGACAATTTTCTACCCCCTTTCGATTACTTTGTAAACGAGGCAGTTCTTTCGTTGTGCGGACGATGGAAAATGGCGGCGGAGCAGGAAGTTGTGGAAGGAGATAGGAGGTTTCGAAATAGGCGTGCTCGAAGTTCGGATCGTAGTAGAATTCGTTTAGGAGATTATTTCGCGTTAGGGCACCCTAGGGAGAGCGGGTGAACCGGGTCTGGCATTGCCTCTGGCACCTGTCGACTTCCTCCACTCCGGAGAAATTCCGGAGAAACCTTTGTCCTTTTTCCTTCCTTTCTTCCTTGCTTCGAAAAATCTGCGATATCTATCGTTATCGGCGACCAAACAATTTGTCCAAAAAACGTTCCAGTTGTTTTCTCCGCCCGATTCTTTTTTTTCGAAGCACTATTTGTATATCCTTCGGCGGATGCAAATTAATCGTCATAACCGACGACGACGAGCCGAAGCTCGGCCGTGATCGATCGGTTGTGCAACGACGACGATTGCCTCACGGTGACTTTTCAACGAGGCGGTGTTCCAGGTAAGCGTGGCAAGCGAGCCAGAACATCGTTGCGTTTCAGAGAATCTGGGTCGCCTTAACGATCAATCTCATCGTTTCCCTATTCGGCGTCTTTTGTCCTATCGGACGCGCCACGCTTCGTGAATATCGCACTCGCGACCTCCTTCTTCTTTCCACCTTCGTTAAAAACTCCATTTGCCCCGATAATCTCGTTATCGAATCGAAAGCCAAAAAACAGGGTCGATCGAGGGTGTAATCGATGCGATTCCTCCTCTCTTCACTCCTCTCGAGAACAATCTTTTGTCCCTTTCGACGAAGAGAATCGTGGAAGAATCGGCGTCGATCAATCGAAGGAAAGTCGCGGGGATTAGAAGCGACGGAGAATTACATATCCGCCGCGAGACAATCGTCCATTGTTGTAACAAACGTTTGCAAATACGATCGGTCGTTAGAAGCGTTTCGAGTTTAATCGAAGCCGGTATTTATTTTTCGTTCGTATGGCATATGTTCGAAACTCGTTATAAAATCGTATCTCTTTCGACCCAAGAACACGCACCGTTCGAATATCGCTGCGAGACATTCGTTCTTCGTCGAAGAAACGGAATCGAATGAGAAATGGAGGATGAACGAGAGTCCACCACTCGAAAAGATAAGATTGTTGGAGCGCGTCCCTCGATCGAGTTTGATCGAAATGGAAGGAGAATAGGAGGAAAGAACAACGGGTCGGAGGGAAGGGTGAGGTGGTCGGACCAGATCCTTTTGCCGAAACAGGTGCACCGGTCTGCCATCCGTCGAGGCGTGTGCCGGCTAACTGCACGCCTTAATAACACGCTCTCCCGATCCTTTACGGGCGGTGGGCACGAACGCATTTCCATAAACACAGACGCTACATCCTGATCGATAGGTGATTTCGTAGCGGGAAGACGATCGAACACGATGGAATCGAACGGGGAGGGTCGAATCGATCGCCTCTTAAATTTAACGAGGATACCTTTGCCGCGGTGTGCATTTTGCGCGGACCATCAACTCTCTCTCTCTCTCTCTCCTTTTCAAAATTTTCAACTCATCGCGAGCGAGAAAACGAACGATTTGTAAGGGAATATATATATATATATATATATTTTTCGACTCGGCCGATTTTTATTCGGAAAGCGTCAAACGTCACGTTCGAGCGATAAATCGATAGAAAGATAGGTATAAAAAAATATATTTAATATTGGAGGGTATAGGCAGTCGTGAAAAGAGGGAAGGGAAAAAAAAAAAATAAATGTAACCGGTAGATCGAAAACGAGTAGCTGCTGGTAGTCGGGAAAGGACACGGGAGGAAAGATCGCGAGCAAAAGAGGGGCGTTCTCGAGGTAGAGGGGTGCGTGGAACAAAAGGCGGCGGTACGCAGGTGAAGCGACCGTCTGCTTAGCAAGCTGCTCGGTTGGCGCGTGTGCGAGTAAGCAGCAGCGGGCAGAAAAGCAAGCGGCGAACTCGAGCGGGCCCAGGGCCCTGCCGGGACCCGAGCCGAGCCTCAGTCAACCGATGCGCGTCACTGCGAGTGTACGCGGCCCGACTTTTTCCGCTATCGCGCATTCCCTCGAGTTTTCTCTCTCCCGATCGAAAACCATTGCTCGATTCCAACGTCTCGAGACAAGTAAACACAGTATATATACGAACGTTTTTTCGATCCGATCCTCCGCGAGAAGAACGCGACCTTGATCCGACAGGATCGAGAATTTGCATCGGACGAAAGCAGTGGCGGAGGGGAAAAAGATTGATCGCGCGATGCAACGTTATCCGCGGGAACGATAAGTCATGCTCGTTGGATTCCAGCTACTTCGGGACGCTGTCGACTATCTTCGATTGTTATCAGGTGCGAGATGATCGCTTGTGCGTTCAATTGGTTGTGTCATCAAGTTGAGAGAAAGTTGCCAAGATCGCGACGTAAAAATTCACTCTCGATGATAATCGAGAAAGAGAAGCTCGGACGGTATCCTTGCTGTGTTGTCCTCCTTTCGGAGGAGAGAGAGAGAGAGAGAGATTGAAGGAAAAAAACTTGGTGGTGGACGGGTGATCGACACTTTTCGCGGACACGTGGCGCGTGGAATTATGCAACATCCTCGCGATACCGCGACGCTAATTATTCGTGGAACCCGATATCGAGCGCGATTGGCCGTGTCATTGATTAATCGCGGCGATCCGTAGGAATAGTTGGAGGAGGAGGGGGTGGGGGGCCGCGGCCACGGCGAACAGTGATAATTAGCCGGTGGAACATTGCCAGGGAATTTCCTACCTTTTGTTCCCAACCGGCGAGAGAGAGAGAGAGAGAGAGAGTTATGGCGATCGGCATGGCGCGCGCGCACGCGATCCTCGCTCGAGTTCCGATCTCGCGCGATAAATCATACCTCTAATTGGACATCGCGACGCGTCTAACTCGGTAATCGTATATTAATCGCGTTACATATGGAATTCATTAACGCAACTTGAACGAACGTGTGTCACGCATCGAGGAATTTCGACATCCCGATGGAGAGAAGATACGTGTTTTCTTTTTTCTTTTTTTTTTTTTTTTTCGTTTAATCACTTTCTCTCCTCGTAATCCACTCGTCTCCTCGACTCTTCGAGTCGCAAGATCTTTATCCACGAGTCTTTTTTATTTATTTTTCGAAAACCTCAAATTTAAAGAACGAATTTTTTTTCCCCCCTTACTTAGCGCGCAGTATATATATATATATATATATGAATTCGAAAGAGCGGAACGAAAGGGTGGAAATTGAATTCGATCGGAAGTAATAAGAGCGCCAAGCATTCGTTATTGTTAGGGATCGAATTTGGTGGCAGTTTGGTTGTTAAGACGCGCGCAACCCTCTCTTACGAGGTCGAGCCTCCCCTTTTTCCTGCTCTCACCCTCTCTCTCTCTTTGACCCAGTCCCACCAGCCTCCTGTCCTCCTCTGATCGTAGGTAGTAGAGTCCCCTTTCCCATGCGGTGGCTTGGCTGCGTGCGTGGCTGCCTGCCTGCCAGCCAGCCAGCCAGCCTGCCTGTTTGCCTTCCTTCCTGCGTGCGTGCGTGCGTGCATGTCGCTTTCCATTGTTTACGCAATGCCTCCTCGACCGGGTTCGCGTTTGCCTCTCTTTTCCTCCGCCAGCTCTCCTTTCCTTCTCCTCTGCGTTTCCAAGGGGGAGAGAGAGCTGGTTCGAGCAACGGTGTCGGCAAGGTTACCGCGTCGAACGAATTGATCCTCGCTCGGGGATCTCTCGAAAGATTTCACGTTCCCCGTCGCGCACCACGTCGCTTTCACAGCTTCACAATTGATTTCTCTCTCTTTCTCCTCTAACTCCATGGATGAAAAGGAACCACCAAGTCGAGTCGTTGAAAACGTGACGACGACTCGTACGAAAATCATATTTTTCCCGCCAGATGTCAACACTCGCCTTCTTTCTCTCTCTCTCTCTCTCTCTTTCTTTTCTTTTACTTTCGAAGCGATCCTCGCTGCTACGCGAATCGAACGCGAATCGAAGCGTGAATATTTCGCGCCGTTACGCGTGACGTTGGAGCGCGCGCGCAATGACTAATCGATCCGCCACGCGTCGCTCGCTCTCCAACGAGCATGGCGAACGAAATTCCAGAAAAATCGGGAGGAACGAACGTTCGGGAAATCGCTTCCCTCTCGCGATGATTCGCGAGGAAGAAAGTTTGGCGCAATAATAGGCTTATCAAGGACAAGGTGGTGGACGATCGATCGATCGATCGCTTTTTTTCCATCTTGCCGCGGTCGTTCCGCCCGATAACGACGCGCCACGGTTTATCGCGCTTCTTGTCGGCTACATCGGGGAACGAATCTCTGTGTAACGATGTCATTATGTCAGCCGGGAAGATAGGATCGGCCGTGCTCGCCTCCTCGTTCCCCGTCCTTGAACGCCGATAATCACACGCTAATTAACTTAGCCATGGATGCTAATTACCGTCCCTTTTCTTCTCTGTTTCAGAACGCGAGCGGCACAGCGCCAACAGGCTATCGGCGTAAGTATCGTATCATTTCCTTCCAACTTTTTTCTCTCTCTCTCTC